GGGCATCAAGTGTCTCTGTACTATGACCACTGCAGACACTTCACTCTGTTTCCAGATCATGGATAAGCCGGAGGACCACAACCAGACCCAGTTGGCGAATCAGGTGGCCGCGCGCAAGCCGGCTGGCCATAGCAGCACACCGGCAGACACTGCGAGAGGTCATGGTACCCCGACCTTGACGTTGAGGGGAAAGAAGCACGCAAACCCGCTCATGAGCCACCTTGTCGCCTAGAAGAACGAGAAGAAGAAGCACCTCCATGATCTGCTGCCAAAACGTCGGAGGTGAGACCGGTCAGAGTGAGACCTTGGAGGAGGAGACAACATTGGTGAAATTGGTGCATCAGGCCGATATTTAAGGCCGCAGGAACCAGGTTTTGTCGAGAGTTACCCGTGTTCTATCTTTCTTGCACGTCATAGAAAGAAAAAATTGAACAAGTGCTCTATTGTTTACATTAGTCTAAGAGTTGAAGTTTACGCATTCCCTACAGCAATGTAGACTTCTGGGAGGTAGGTGTTTAGTTTTTTCTGTGTACAAGGTGCTTTCTTGGATGTTTCGGTCAGAAATTGGAGATGCACTATGCAAGTGCTCGGGATTGGCATGTTCATTTCTTTGTTGTCTGGGCGTCTACTGTGTGGTGGCCCTGCACCTCATACTTATCCCCATATATACATACCGTTGCTTGCAACACCAACTCGATGAATTCAAACTACGTTTACTGCGTGGTCAACAATGCGTCGCTGGAAATCGTAGGCAGACGTGGTTTGACTGTTCATATGGGCTTTTGAGCCTGTCGATCGTTGCCAGTCAGCATTCCGTAGGCTAGGCGATAATCAGGCCCTTCTTGACTCCATGGTTGATCCTGATGTGATGTTGCACCTGTGACTGCATCGCCACACCGGGTTCCTCTTATGACCAGGGCTTCTCTTAACGCGGGCGTCAAGGCGTGATCCACATTCTTTATGTGGGGAAGGTATTACTCGGTGCTAGTGTGATCAACGTGCTCCAGCCTCTTCGCGCCCTCATGTGAGCTTCAGCCTTAGCTGTGACTGCCATCTACTCATCGCGATAACTCTGCCGGCCAAGTCTGTGGCTCTCGTACACCAATACCAACATCACCAGATCACTTACTCAATAGACTAGTGTGTAGCTGTGTGATCAACACGATTGCTTCGCGTGGTCCGGGTAACTGCCTTGAATGGCAGCCTTAGACAGCCTTGCCGCAGACGCCACGGGTACCTAGGTACAATGAGAACGAACAAGACACCCGCAGCACTGCCCCGATACCGACCCAATGTATGAGCAATATCCTAGACTGAAGGAGTCGGTGTGTGAAGAATCGCGCGCGTGCAATGTATGGCATGAATTACCGCCATGCGAACCGTCAGCCGCCGCCCTGTTGGGGTCTGCGCCTCAACCTTGTGGATCCCAGGCGCCAAACATCCAGGCAGCGTCAATGGAGCGCAAATAAAGAGGACAAAGCGATGCGCATTGTGAAGTATCTGCCCCATCATTCCAGTCACAGTTTCGTATCACAAACAACATCTGAGTCGATTGCGTTGCCAACAGCATCCGTGTGCGATTCCGTTTGCATCGTTCTACGACTGCCCCGAGACCCCAGACATACCGGCCTCAAGGGTCCAAGCTATGTCATTGGCCCGGTATGACTAGACCCCACCAAAAAGCATAAGAACCACGGAACTGACTTGCATTTCCAGCTTCCACACTTTCCATCAGCCTTCTTCATACACCCCTACAGCCCGAGCAGCTACTTTCCCTACAAATTCAGGAGTTTTCGCCGCCAAAAACCGACTGCAGCAGTTGACAAGCCAGTTAACGAAGAGCTCAATCATGTCCGAGATGCCCGAGAAGTCCCAAGATAAGAACGAGGCTACCAACAGCGAGTCGACTGAGGAAATCAAGCCTGAACTATCGTTTACGGGAGGAGAAAAGATTGGGAAGGCCCAACTTCCAGAGTTGCCATCACCGCCGCCAGAAGAACACAAGGAATTTACACACTGTACCCCTAAGTACTCGACTCCAGGTTTTAATGCCGTGGATCCGCCTCCATACCGCAAATTCAACGTCTTCACCGCTGGTAGTATAGAGATGGGTAAAGCGGTCGAGTGGCAGTCGCTCATGGCACAGCTACTTTCGCACCTGCCCATCACTGTGTGCGATCCACGACGACCAGAACATGATTGGGACAAAGCCAAAGCTTTCGTTCCAGATCAGAATAAACTTACAGGAATGCAAGCACAAATCGACTGGGAACTGGACGCGTTAGAACAAGTAGACGTCATCTGCTTCTTCTTCGATGTCGACACCAACAGCCCAGTCTCTCTGCTCGAGTTGGGTCTGTGGGCTCATTCCAAAAAGGTGGTGGTTTGCTGTGACGACCGGTACCATAAACATCCCAACGTTAAGCTTACGTGTGAGAGATATGGGGTCCCGTTAACCAGTTCGTTCAAAGACCTGGCGGAAAAGGTCGAAAAGATGCTGGTGGACAAGGGCATGAAACTTGACAGCAAGGGCAACTTGATCGGAGATAATGTTCATAAGCGCAAGCCGAAGCCGCATCAGACGTCGGAAGCGCAGCTTGAGGCGGACAAGGCTGCGTTGCACAAGCAGGTCGATGAGCTCAAGGCGATGCTGGCGACACAGTCGAAGATGTGATCAAGGTGAGCTGTATGGGCTCTGGTTTGACTGGCGTTGGTGGAGTTTCTGTCTATTCAATAATAACCAGCGTGGGGGGGATGTCTCAATTACTGGTACAGCCCTGCTTTGGCTATATCACATGTCTCTCATTTATACATATCTCTCATTTACACATGTCTCTATACCCAGACTTTCTTACCCAATGGCTTTTTTACCTTATCAGAATAGACGAATAACTGATGCCCCCTCCGGCTCAGGTCAAACCCTCCGCTTCACTGGGTTGATGATTTCCCTCTATGTGCCATCCCTAACAGATATTTCACATCGTGGCATCTATGTGATGTTGGACTTTTCGTAATATGTGCTCGTCAAAGCATTGTAATGCTCACCGAATGTATGTCTCCCCCAGCAGGCTCGAAAGGAAGACTTAGACAACATCCCATCCTTACTCTTTCCAAGTCTCTTCTCGGTTCGGAATATGCCCTGACCATCTTTCCTACTACCTTTCCCAAAAGGAGTAGTAGCGTTGCGTGCACGCCACATCTCCTTCGGGTGTCTGCAAGAAAGAATGGGTGCGAGCCATGTTGGCCGTGGTTGTCAGATACGCCGAATGACAAGACCAGGCGTGGCAGATCTCCCTGTGACCTAGACAGTCGAGTATCCACCGTACGCAACCAACTCGCAGCCCTGCAGCCTTGAAGACGGCATAAGAGCCAGAGAGGCGGACAGTCGACATGGTCATGCGTCATCTTGATGACACTGTCGATACCATAATGACCAACCTCCCTGACAACTCTCATCATTTTAGTCTCCCTGAACACTGATATCCCACTCATCACCCAACCTCAACCTCAAACCCAACTCTAACCCATAAACTACACCCCACACACCCAACCAACACCTCCTTCTCGCCCCTCTCCTCCGCATCCTCCAACTCTTCTTCTAAAATACTGAAACCCTTGTCTGCACCACACCGACAGCCTCGCGTCCACATCGTCTGCCCTTCTGCCCCTTCTCCTCCTTGCGCACCCATAGAAGCAGATGTATCCACACCATCCCCCTCCCACATCTCAAAATCCCCCAAATCAAGCATTTCAAGCCCTAATATAAAATCACTCGACAACTGCACTTCCCCCCTCGCACCCTCCTTCCCTGTCCCTCTCTCCTTGCCCATCGTCAGCCCATCGCCATGGCGCAGGAACCAATTATCGTATTCGGATTTTGAGGTTGCATTCGCGAGGGTCGTGTAGGCTTCTTTGACGTCGTCGACTGTGTATGCGGGTTTCGTCTTCGTCTGCGTTGCGGTCGCGGTCGTGGTTGTGGCGGCGACGGCGCTCGCTTTATCTGGATGCGCGGCTAGCAGGGCGAGTTTGTACGCTCGGCGGAGCTCTGCTGGGCTGGTTTGCTGTTTTGAGGTCCAGTCTGGCGCGGGCAGTTGCAGGATGTGGTAGTAGTTTTTGGTGTAGGCCATGGTTTTCTGACTTTGCGCGGCGATTTGTGGTTTAGATGGGTCGTCGTGCGGAGGGTAGCAATAGGCCTCTAGGGAATGAAATTCTTTGCAGGGAATTATGAGCGCCGCTCGCCCTTGGAGGGCTGGTTCGGAACTTTTGCCATACGCGACGCGACATGAGAAACGGAAAAGTTGGGCGGGGAGGTCGCTCGGCTCCAAGTGGTGGGGCGGTTCATCCCACGGGGTCTGGCACATGGAAAAGGACCGATCAGAGTCCAGATCGACAACATATATGCACGTTGCAGTGAGTCAGAATGGACGCGCCTCAAGGTTCAAGTGATATCACGGCATAAGAGTGCAAGATTGAAGTAGCGATTCCTTTGGCTAGCTAAGAGTGCAGTATGATGACATTAAGCCCTCCAGAGCTTTGCGTACTGCTCTACCGGCCATCGAAACTGATGTCCTGACTCCCAGAATCACCAAGAGGATGTCAAACATCTCTGTCGGCATAGGATCGAGGTGTTTATGTGCTGCCAAAACGAAAACATGGGGGAATTGAGGGTAGCATCCGACGTACCGAACGCAGCCCTATCTCGCCGGTAGCAGCCCAAGACTCTCATGAGGAAGAGCTCAGAAGTACTAGAGTCGTGTGCGGAACGCGACCCCAGCACACTGCGTGCTCGATGGGACAGCGCCGGCAATAGGAGAGTAAAGGGAAATACATTCAGTCATGGGGAATTCGACCGTACCGAACCGCTTGCTGCCAAAGCCAATTTTTGAAATCACACAGAACACGTACAACTCCGTAGGACACTCGCTGCCGGCCTCCTTCGTCTATTCGAGAACAGATGACGACGGCTGAGGATACACAAGGTCGAGAGAGGGAGAGTGTGCTTAAGCGGCGGGGGCAGGGGCGGCAGCAGGAGGCTGCTCCTCGGCCTTGGGCTCGGATGCAGCGGGTGCGTCCTCAGTGGTCTTGGCCTCCTCCTTGGGTGCGTCGGTAGTGGCGGCGGCCTCGCCCTCGTTGCCGTCTGATGACGTCCAGAGAGTGAGGTTGTCACGGAGGAGCTGCATGATGAGGGTGCTGTCGCGGTAGGACTCCTCAGACAGAGAGTCGAGCTCAGCGATGGCGTCGTCGAAGGCCTGCTTGGCAAGGTGGCAAGCACGGTCCGGTGAGTTCAAGATCTCGTAGTAGAAGACCGAGAAGTTCAGCGCAAGGCCGAGACGGATGGGGTGGGTGGGTGTGAGCTCAGTCTGGGCGACATCGGTGGCCGTCTGTGTTGCGGGATTAGATGATTTCATGTTGCTGGGTAGCCATTGCGTCATACCTTGTAAGCCTCGTGTGCAGCGGTCGCAGCGACCTTGCGCTTCTCGCCGGAAGCGAATTCGGCAAGGTAGCGGTGGTAGTCGCCCTTCCTGTGCCGGTGTTAGCCCTGTTTGCAATGAAAACAGCGGAGAAAGCGGTGTGGACGCACATCTTGTGGTAGAAGACCTTGGACTCGCCAGACTCGGCCTTGGGGATGAGGGAGTCGTCGAGGACGTTGAGGACATCCTGGCAGACCTGCTCAAGCTCGGTCTCGATCTTCTGGCGGTAGTCGCGGATGGTGCCGACGTGCTTCTCAGAGCCCTTGGACTCCTCCTTCTGCTCGATAGACGAAATGATGCGCCACGACGCGCGTCGGGTGCCGACAACGTTCTTGTAGGCGACAGACAGAAGGTTGCGCTCGTCAACGGTGAGCTCACCGGCGACCTATGCTGCGTTAGCCGGGCGCTGATGGGAGCCTGCGCTGTGGCGGGCGCCTGCTCGTTTAGGAGCGGATGCGGTCGAGCATACCTTGGCGACTTCCTGCGAAACAATCAGCATGTGAGTTGGGGTGAGCAGCGACGGGCGAGCAAACTGACCTTCATGTAGGTAACCATCTCTGCACGACTGTTAGCTTGCGCGGCCAGCGGAGGGAGCGCGCGGAGACTTACCATCGTAACGCTCAGCCTGTTCGCACAGCCGGGCGAGGAAAGTCTTGCTATTGCGACGTCAATTACTGGCGGGCGCTGTCTCGGGCAGCTGTCTCGTACCTCTCACGCTGCGGACGGTTAGCCTGCGTTGCTTGCTTGGGGATTATCGGGGCTCAGAGGGGCATCCCGCCGGGGACAGTAGCGGGGGAATGGGGCAGAATCAGCACGACGTACCTCAGTCGCCATTGTGATGGTTGAGTTGGGGGGGTTTGTGGTAGTCGGGGGACTGTGGGGGGTGGTGCAGGTGCGTATGGAAGGATAGACGGTGGGCGGAGTTGTTGAGGTGTTTGTGTGGATCAACGGGCAGAAGAGGATCGAAGTTGTTTTGAGGAAGCGAGCGTCTGCCCTAAGAACGACCCGTGCACAGACGCTGAGCGAACAACACCACCTCGACTGCGCCTTCCCCCAATTGGCGCCTGCGCTGCCCTTCACATGATCTGCTGCCCCGTTTGCGCGCTGGCACACACCCTCTGCCATCTCCAAACCCTCAGTCTCAAAGCGCCCCATCGCCCTGCTGTTGCGCCGCCATGTACGCCTATCTTGGTGCAAGCTGGCAATGAGGGGTACATGGGCACGTGAGCAGCTCCAGGGTCTGTCCTTTCACCGGCCCCTTCAGGCTTCAGGACTACCAGGCGCCGGGCCTGGCTCGCGACACGTGCTATGGCACCGTCCTGCCCTCATCTTACGCCAGACGGCCTGTAACGTCGTCGAGCAGCCGTCGAGCCGTCACACCAGTCGGGCTCTGAAGCGCGGCCGCCAGCAAGAGGCTGATTCCTAGACTGCCGTCCCATGTCCAGGTGGGGGCCAATCAGTGCCGCTTGGAAACAGCTAGAAAACCTGGCCGCAAGCTGTTGCGCTGCGACGTCTCTGCGCCATGATTCGTGTGACGTTGCGGTGAAGTACCACGACCACGGCCAAATGCCAGAGCGTTAGCCTCCCGTGTCACATGTGGCTGATCTGAGGCGCCAGGCCGGCTAGGCGACCTGGCGTCTGTATCCACATGGCCTCATAGGCGGGCTGCAGCCCTCTCAATATCAGCGCGCAGCTCGTGAATTTGCCTGAATACCAAGGCAGCCGTTTGTATTCAGTGCTCGACACGGACAACGTTGTTCCCGCGTGCTTGCATATGCACGCCACACTATCTTATCTAAAACCAACCATGGCCGTCTCGGCACCATCTCGTCGTGCACGGAGCTCTTGATCCGTTGCAGCCGTAAACTGCATTGACAGGCACTGTTGCACATATATGGTGCGGCGCAGAAACATGGCCGTGTGCACTTGCGCTCTGTGGCTTCTGAGGCTGTCCGCGTCTGACCCAACATATCTCCATACAAGCAGTCACATCGTGCCTCACATTAACAACCGCCAGACACCCAACATCAGCGCCGCCGTACCCGTACACACACCCATGAGCCACTGCAGCGTGGAGAACTTGACCGCCTCGAGCCTCTCCCGCAGCTGCGCCGTCTCCTGCTCGATCCTCGTCTCGGTCTCCTTCAGCTTGAGCTCCTGCACGTTTGCCTCCTCCCTTATGCGTCCCTTCTCCAGGTTCAAGTCTAGCCGTACTGACGCCTGTGTCCGTTGTATCTCGTCCCGCAAGCGCGAGTTCAGCTTTGCGAGCTCGTTTGTGAGGCGCTCGTGCGATGCGCGCGTCAGACTCGATTCAGTCGAGTCGGCCGTCATGAGTTCGGAGCGGAGTTTGGCAAAGTCGACTTTCTGCGTGTAGGTGGCTTTCTCCTGGTCTTCGCGGAGGACCATGGTGCGCGTGAGGTTTTGTATGCTGTACCTGTCAATTGCAGATCTTGAGTAGTCGTGTCTAGACTGACCTCTCCTCAATTACATCGCTGAGAACCCTCATCATGCCCTCGGCTTGCTCTTCTGTGAACCCCTCCTCCTTCAGTCGCTGCACAAACTTGAGCGTGTCGAAGTGATGGTCCTTGGATTGCCGTGCAGTCGCGCTGAAGTTGCGCCGTAGCTCCAGGGCAGACGCATAGCCGCTTGCATATTGTGGTGATGTTTTTGGCCACTGGATTGTTGTTCGGGATAATGGCTTCGGAAAGGCAGCGCGACGTTCGGAAGCTACACTGCATCTATGCCGACTTTGTTCCAGTACGCCCAGCGCAGCCGGCCGTGACACCCGCGCGGGCCATGATAGTTGCGGCAGGAGAAATCGCGGTATCGCCGTCGCCTGTATCGCAGGAACTGTCATTGTGTGGGTGGTGTAGTTTCTGTCCTGTCTCGCCGTCGAGAATTCAAAGGCCGCGGGTAGCCAAGCCCTGCACATGTCATTGCCGAATTCGGCAAACCATTCCACCTCCCAGCGCCCTGCAGAGCTGTCAGCGGAGGGGACTGTCTCAATCACTTAATCGCAGTGGCTCGATCGATCTGGAAAACATGCGTGGAAAGGCCTTTATTGTTGCTTGATATCATATTGAAAGAGTTCGCCCAAACATACATCCCAGAAAGCATATACAACGCTTGCTATGCATTTCGCCTTTGGAACAGAAGAAAACAAAAATGTCGGCCGTCCGTCTATCTGCCATACTCCAGACTGGGAACAATGACAGGCCCGTACTTCATCGGCGCACTGTATCCGCCATCGTTCTGCACCATGAAATCAACCGCCAAACTCAACTTGCCACTGCCATGTCCAGGGACAGCCTGACCAAACGTCCCGTTGACGATCTCCGGATCGTAAATGACACAAGCGACGTAGTTTCGTCGACCCATCAGCCTCTTGTGTTCTCGAGGTTGTCCGTTCACGTCTTGCGTGAAAATCTCCATCATGTCTTCCTTCGTGTCGCTGGGTTGGTTATTGCTGCGGTGTCCGTTCTGTGGTACGTAGAGAGCACGGTTGTTGTGAAGGAGTCGCAGCACATAGCTTCCAGGCGGCCCATTTACCACTGACGATGAGATGATCTGGTACATTGTCTTGTGATCTTGGGGTCTCGATGGGTCATGGACGAGGCCAGCGCCGCAGCAGTCGACCGCTCCAGAGAAGAACGTCATTCGTAGCGACTTGTTGTGTGCGATGCCTTGGAGTGTTCGTATCAAGTAGGTTCGTTCGAGATCCTTCAACATGTTAACAGATACTTTGACGGTAGATGGGCATCACCAACCTTGGAATCGTGCGTCCATTGGTCTCTCAGCTCATCAAGCAAATCGATCTCGCCAAAGGGACTCAGAACTCCGCTCATCAGACCTGACTTGCCAATAGCTTTCTTGACAGAGTTGAAGCCATCGCCGACCACACTCTTAGCACCGACGACACCAGCGACTCCAGCTGTCACCTTTCCAAGCATGTTGAATGTACCCGTGACAGCCTTTTTGCCAGTAGCCATGGAGTGAGCAAGATGCTCAACTGACTCCAGGCGAGGGTACACAATGGGAACAGGAACCATCCAAATGCAGTGCTGAACGCTCGGCGGTAATGTCGCAACCTTCGGGAAGATACCTTGATATGTCGGTCCTGCCATTACCTGATGCGGGTTGCGCTCAGAGCGACAATCGGGGCCAACGACTGTGACGCATGGGCCCAGATACTTGATGAAATGCCAGCCTGTGCCCGTTATAGTGAAAAGGTCCATGTCGTTGTTGACGTTTCGGAGAATCTCTAATGTTGTGTGGTGCTGGAAGAGCAGATACATCTCAATACCCAGTCTTCCAATGTTCTTGAACATGTTCGAGAACTGCATGTATTCAGGGTATGATCCGAAACCATCAAATCTGGGTAATGTTAGGGTTGCTTGCTGTTTTACACACGGATTGGACTTACATGTCATGGTCATCGAGAGCAAGAATGTGAGGTATCTGTGCAAATGCCTCTCGCAAGTGTGGCTGGTCGAAGTGACTTGTGTAGTAGTGGAAGTATGCATGACACACATCTTCTTCATGCTTTGCAGTCCATGGCGCGTTCTTTCGGGCCTCTTTACCACTTGTCGCGGTCCATTGCTTGAGCAAAGGAAGTTCTTTCCATAGCCGGTCGGCGTATATTTGACCACCCAATCCAAGTTGTACGTGGAAACCGCCACACTCGGCATTCTTCTGTAGGATATCCTTCCACATCAGGCCTACACCACCAAGCCTCGCTCTCTCGTTAGCGTTGACGTTCAGCGCGAAGTCATTGCCAGAGTGAGCAATAAAGCGCCAGCTGGTCTCATTTCGGCCTGCGACCAGAAACTCGAAGCGAGTGCAGCCCAGGTGCGAGGTGATGGCATAAGTCCATTTTGCAGCGTGCTCATCTTCCATTCTCAGATCAATGTCGTATCGGTAAAAGATCCACGTCTGATGTGTATAGATGGGATTGGCCTTCAGTTGTCGCGGATTTGGTGACAGATCCGCACTCTGATGGATGTGAATAGTCGGCGGATGAGGAGTGTTTGTGATGAGCAGTATCGAACCTAGCCATAGACCTCGCTCAATGTCCATGTTAGTGTATCTGAGATACGGTCCAAAGTACACGCCGTTAGTTGGAGCAACCTTGTATTGGTCTACACCAGCAACTGGAGGCGGTCCAGTGAAGCCGGTAGTAGTTGGTGTCGCAAGCGGCGCCATGCCGAAGTCTCCTGGGAAAGTGGCCGTCTGTGGAGCAAAGCCAGGCGATGCGATGGGGGCCTTGCCAAACGACGGGGACGCCAGAGGACCGCCAACAAATGTGCCGGTAGGAGACATAGGCTCATTCAGATTGAGAGGTGTTGGGCCTTTGGGGAACTCCCACTGTGTAGATTGAGTTGGAAGATGGATGTAGTAATACTGGCCAGAACTAGGGTCCAGATGTGCTATCCAGCCTTCAGGAAGCGGTGGAGGAGAGGCCGGCCCGGGTCCTGGAGCTGGACTTGGTGTGTGTGCGGGTTGGGTGGTTTGTATTTGAGGAGGGAACTGGTTCTGCGTCGGCGTTGGTGCGATGACCGCCGCAGGTTGTGATGGTCCAGCTTGTGGACGCGGGTCATTTGCGAATGCCGGATGGCCTTGGTTAGGGTCTGAGAAACCAGCTCCTTGGGCAGCTGGCTGCTGTCCCTTTTCGTTGGGATAGCTGTGGGCTTGGCCTGTTGGCGGGGTTGTTATACTCGAATAGGCTGGAGGGGGTTCCTCGTTCAAGTTCATCCGTCCCATCTCGTGGTTCAGCGGGTGTTCTGGAGGTACGTTCACGTTGGTAGGAGGCGGCGAAAAGCGAGTGTTCGGTGCCTGCGGAAGAGGGCCTTGTGGGGGAGTGCTCGAGGGAGGCACTTGATCCATGCCCTGGTATACGGCCGGTGGACCATGTGGATTGCCTCCAGGCTGCTCGGTCGGCGTCCATGGTCTCCTCGCCGGCTGTTGGCTCGGCTGTGGTGTTGAGAGACCCGGCCTGGGCTGCTGATTGGCATATATCTGGTTGCGCTGAGCAGCTGCCGCATTCTGGGCACTCTGCGCTTGGAGGTTGGTGAGCGTAGAGGTTCCTGCAATGCCAGCTGCGGCAAAGCGCGCTTCTATGCCACCGCCAGAGGGAGGTATGATGGGCGTCTCCGGGGGCGGAGGTGAGCCTCTCTGTGCCCTCACTGTTGACGTCGATGCGGTGGAGCTCATGCGGTTGACGTCCATGGGCGTAGGCACCTTGAGCACCGGCTCATTCTGGTTAGGGCCTGTGTATACGACTGGCGCAGCGGGCGCAGCCGGGGCCGCACTGGGGCCAGCAGCGGGCGGGGGAAAGTACTGCTGGTGGTACTCGGGGTATGGGTTGCTGGCGCCCACGTCTTCGCTGCCCTTCCTCTGCGGTGCCTTCTGGAACAAGCCCTCCTTGTCGGGCGCCTCTGGGCCTGGCGAGTCGGGGAGCGGCTTCGGGGCTGTCCCTCTGCGCTCGGCCAGCCTCGAGGGCTGGATGGAGCCGTCTGGATTCCGCGCGCCATAGCCGCTTATCGTGGGTCGGTTTGGGTCGTTGGCGTCGAAGCGGGCGCGCTGGCTGGGCGAGGTGGGACTCGGTCCTGTCGCATTGGAGCCTCGCCGCGGTCCGTCTGCGCCCTCAGGGGGTGTTGCTGTCCGCGCGCGGCGCTCCCTCTCGCTGAGCGGCGTGTATCTGCCTGTGCTGAGCGTGGGCGGGCGGTCGCTGTCGGGGTAGGGCAGAGGGGCGTTGGGCGGGCTCGTGGGCGGCGCGGGGAACGAGGGCATGGGAGGAGGGCGCGAGAAGGCGGGCTGGCTCGAGCTGCCCGCCGAGTCTGTTCGTGGCGGCGGGCTCTTGCCATCGCGGCCCTTCTGTATCCTCAGGGGCCCGACGGTGGGAATGATGGGCGTGTCTGGGTTGCTGTTGTTGTCGTATCGCAGGAACAGCTCCTCGTCCGGGCGGCCCTGCTTGCGGCCGTCCATGGTGGGCGAGTGCAGGAGATGCGCTGCGGTGTCGTTGCAGCAGCGGTGCCTGGATCGCCGGCGATGGCAGGCGGCGACTTATTTTTGGCTACGGGTGCGGATAGCTCGACGTGCGCAGGGCAACACGGTGGTGTGGATGGCTGCGCGGGGTGGGGTAGTCGCTCGAGGCTCGATATGACGCTGCCGGGCGACGGGGTGCATCAACTGTACATGAACATGCCACGCGCTGGGCCCTCAGGTTTTATGCAGTCTCTACGCGATGCTGCTGACTTACGTAGCCTTTCTACCATGGCCCTCCAAGAGTTGGGCTGCAGCGGGTCTCGCCATACTGACCTCCTGGGCTGAGGAGGCCCTCTGACATGTGATTGGACTGCTCGACTTTACGCGCTGCGACCGAATTTGCGGCCGCTCCTGATCACACTTGGCGGCGCATACGAGCAGCATCCTGTACCTGGTGTGGCACACACTACCATCTGCTTCCAGCAAATCAAATCACCCATCCCCGAAGCCATCTGTGGCTGGTAAACCACGATCTCCCACCCAAGGCGGGCCGCGCAGTGCAGCGGGCCGACAACTCTGTGAGCATCCGCGAGCTTCGGCTTGTCAACACCAACGCGGCAAATCGGCTTCAACATCCCAGTCATTAGTGCCTGTCGTGCAAGCGACTATCAAGAAATATCAACGACGAATACGAAAATGAAGGTAAGCATACTGTCAACATCGACACAAGGGACCAGCGACCACGCAGCTATAATAATGTACTGTATTTGAGATGATAAGAATACGAAACAACTACGAGATCTATCAAACTTTTAACCAAGGAATTACCTCCATACGCGCTTCTTCCCTCTCGCCTATTACACGCAAAAAATCTTTCTATAAAGCACAACGCTCCACTAGAATATTTACATATCCATAAGAGCCGCTGCACCAGACTCGCTGCACACGTAGACAACATCGTGGCTGTCGCTGAAGCCGTTGAAGCGAGTAGCAGAGCACTTGGTGTACGCGCCCATCTCCTCAAAGTAGAGCCAGTCACCCACGTCGAGTAGCTCGGGGAAGGTGCACGACGACGAGACGACGTCGATACCATCGCATGTCGGACCCCAGATGGAGTACTCGACTTGAGACGGCGTGTCGTAGCCAGAGCGACGGACGTCGTACAGAATATCGTTGCCGTTCTTCAGCACACGCGGCACGGGGTGCTGGTGATCGAAGATGATGCTCGAGAAGTTGCCGTAGACACCGTCGTTGAGGTACAGCATGTACGACGTGGTGCCGAGAGTAGCATCGGCAACGGTACGGCGAGCGATGACATGGCACGCAATGGTGAACGCTGTGGAGACATAGTAGCGTCCCGGTTCCCCAATGACGCGGATGTGGGGCGGGAAGTACTCGTCCAAGGCAGTAGACAGCACTGCGGCCATGGGCTCGAAGGTAGCATCGCCCGTAAAGCCGCCGCCGACGTCAAGGGTGTGCATGTTGAAGCCAAGTGCAGCCGCCTGGTCAAAGACGAAGCGGGCGTCCTGCACAGCCTTGATGAAGGCCTTGGGGTCGGATGCGCCGGAGCCAACGTGGAACGCGACGCCAACGACGTTGAGCTCCAGCTTCTTCGCCAGCTCCAAGAGCTCTGCAGTGGTGTCCAAGGCGGCACCAAACTTCTGGCTGAGACGGCACAAGCTGGCCGAGTCATCAGTCAAGATGCGCAGGTACAGCTCGGCGTCCGGGAAGAGCTGCTTGGTCTTGTAGAGCTCGTCGGCATTGTCGAATGTCATCTGCTTGACGCCAGACTGAGCGGCGTAGCGCACGTAAGACTTGGTCTTGCAGGGCTGCGCGTAGATGATGCGAGAGGGGTCGACGCCCAACTTGAGCACACTCTCAATCTCGTTCTTGGAGGCACAGTCGAAGCCGAGGCCCAGTGCGGTCATGAGACGCAGCACTTGGGGGTCGGGGTTGCACTTGACGGCTGCGACGTGTTAGTGGCAAGTCTACGTGGTGTGGTGTGCGGTGACTTACCATAGTGCGGCTTGACGCGGCCTAGGTTCTTCTTCCAGCGCAAATGCTGGCGGTAGACCTCGCCCAGGTCGGCGACGAAGAAGGCCTCCTCCTCGCCGACGCTGCAGGTATCAGGATCAATAGCCTCGACACGGCTCTTGAGAGCGTGCGCAATCAACTGCTTGGATTTCCAGGCGCCATGATTGTCCACACTACCAGCGGAATAGTTGTTGAGTGACTGGATGTCTTTCAACGGGAATTGGTATTCTTCGGTAGTCGTGATAGCAGAAGGTGCCATGCCCTTGACGATGGGTCTGGATAGAGGGTTGGTTAATTAGGGTATTCGCCGGTCGTGGTGCCGCGTTAAGGTGGCTTGAAGGGTGCGAAGCCGAGGCTAGGTGTTGGGCGAGGTCTGGCCGCTTCCTCTGCGAGAGGAAGAACCGCTGATGGCGTCCTATGCGGCAGCTGAAGTTCGGGCTGCTCGAGTGTCTGGGTAGGGGACAAAAAGAAAAGGCGTTCGAGTTCGGTCTTAGATGGCGACAAGACGCGGAGGGGGGATGTTGTTGAAGACGTGAGGTGCTGGGCGCGCAGAGACAACTTGGGCGTTGAGCAGGAGCAGGGCCGAAGCCGTAGTGGGACGGGAGCCTTTGACGCGACCAAAGGCTGTCGGAAGGGGGTGGTGGGCTGGAGTGAAGGCGCAGACGGACGCTTTATAGGGCGCGGTGTCTGGCGGGCGGTGAATATGGGGAGCGGGTGAGGTGTAGGAGAAAGGGAGGCGATGGCGGGGAGCTGGAGTGACAATTTTCGCGCATTCGGTTGTGGTGCTGGAGTCTTGGACCGAACATTACTTAACATCCCTGCGCCGTCCAGGACCTGCAGCCACTAGCATTTCATTCTGACATCACCGGGGCTCGTGCATGGACGCCGACGGTGCCTGATCGGCTCGATGGTACGCATGCGAGGCTGAGCCACCGCTGGAGCTCGAAATCGCGCATGTCAGGTATGCCCGACGCGGCTTTTGGGCAACCGTCGCGCGCTCAACATGCCAAGGTCATTAAACGCGCATGGTACTTCTACCAACAGGGCACAGTAGTTGCGGTGAGTGCAGTGATATTTATTCTCTGATTGGGTGGAGTCGTAGCTATATGCCGGCTCATGCAGTATGTACTCAAAACAGGAACAACGCCATACCCTTCCCTACCCAGATGCCGCTGTGTGAATGCAAAAGGCGCAACATGTGAATGCTACTTGATTATGGTAAATAGTAACCCCGCAAGCCAAAACCTACTCCCTTCTCACGCGCGCTGCATCACGATTGGTACCGGATCATAATGGGTACGTCGGAGAGGTCCACGCCGTACTGGTGCTGGAAGGCCAGCGACTTCAGCGAGGCGTTGCTGTGGTGCGATCGCGTGCCCGCGCTGCCTCCGATGCCCGCCCCATGTTCGTAGTTGTAGTCCAAACCCCCACTAAAGCGATCCCACCTAGAGATGTTGTTGGAACCCTTGACTTCTTTGCGAGGAGTCATTTCGAGGGGACTTTCGCATGGACTTTCGACTGGGCTCGCATTGTTGGACGCGTCGTTTGGATCCGAGTACAGGTCCAGGTTGACATCCGAGTACAGGCGGTCTCCCAGCGTCCTACGGCGCTGGTGCCAGACCTGAGACTGCCTTGGCGAGATCACACCTTGAGGAGGCTGTTGCGGAGGCGCGCCATATCTGATCACCGGAGGAGACCCTCTCGGACTGCGAGGCCTGGGGCTGGGAGCAGCCCTGGGTCCTTGAGGCTTACCAGCCTGTGGGACGCTAAGCCTGGCCGTGTTGATGGATGGCACAGGTGGGACGTCGACGCTTTGTGGGCGAAGTTTCGACGCTGTAGCCTCACCAGTTTCTTTCTTCAAGTTATGGAGGCTTTTCCGGCGCTGTTGAGGGGGCATGTCCCGTCGAGTAACGGATAGGTCCCTGCTGTGTAGGCGCGCAAACTCTGCAGCAGATTTGCTGTCCATGGTCACCATCGACTTCGACCGAGGCAAAGAAGCGCCTAGTTGATGTGGGTGGGTTGGAGAAACAACACGCTGTCTAGGGGTGTCGGACATGGCGATGTCGTACGGAGAGGTGCCAAGGGACGAGGTGATGGTACCAAGATGAACCACATCAAGTGCGGCCTGCTCAGGCTCTTGCTCGGGCTGACTCTGTGCAGGTGCAGACTTCCTTCGGAAGAAGGACAAGCTCCTGCGACGACCGTGAGCAGGGGGTGTGGGTGCACGCTCAGCCTCCAATTCAGCGAGTGGCTTGAACTCAGTCTGCTCCGGAGCAGAAGCCTCCATGGTGGAATCGTCCGCAGAAACGTGCTCTTTTGTCGGGTAGGTGTGCGTCAAGCAATCCATTCCCGGAGAGCTCGACACGCGTCGCTCAAACTTGGCTCGCAACCTGGTTGGGACCTCAGGAATCGTTCCCTCTGGGATTGGCTGGCATGACTGAACAACAGGATGCTCAGCCTGGGACGGCCGCTTCTTGTGAAATCGCTTTTGCTGTTTCGACGAAGCACTGTCAAACGATGCCCTTGAACCGATGGATCGGGATGTTATTGGCGAATGTACACACTCAGACGTCGATGATCTTGTAGAAGAGCTAGTAGACGGGACCGGACTGTTCAGCGCTGGCAGGTATCGCGCCTTCTGCACATTGACTGACAGCGATTGCTTGGATCTGCCACTCTCGGCTGAGCCATCCGAATCGCTCGTGGTGTTCGGCGACTCCACGAATTGGCGGTTCTGTTTCACAAGAATTGAACGGCGAGTCTCGCGTCCCTGGCTTACCTCAACCATTTGAGGCGAGTCGTTGCACCGATGACACAGAATGGTGGTGGCGTTTTCCGTCGGCTCTTGACCGACTATCCGTAGACTGCCAGCGGATGAGTAGCCAGAATCGGTCGTACGTGGTGCTGGCCGCTGAGAAGCTTTGCTCTTTGGCTTGTTGGAGGTGGGCGCGATCGATGGGGACGAA